CGAGACGGTCTTGGTTGGGCTCTTGGGGACTGATGGTGTTCGGCAGATCTGCATCGACTACCCGGCAATCCACGCCTCACGCTACTCGACCAGTACCGGGATGTCGAATGAGACCAGGAGCTACTACAGGCCGGTTGCCAGGAGGATCGTCCTGAGTAGAGCGACCTCCTTCTTGGAGACAAGGGATGACGGCCCGGTGATGGGTGGTCTCTGGTGTCGGATCAGTCCCAGGCTCTTGGAGATGGTTGGGGCTGGCCCCGGAGTTCTTGCCAGGTGGCGCATGCCTCAGAGGGTCTGTGCCAATCTACTTCCGAACTATGCCTCGAGTCCCTCGATCGGTGCCCCTGGTCTGGGGATTGAAGAGGGGTCTGCTGAGCCTGCCTCTCCAGTCCTGAGGCGTGGCGGCTGCAGGTTGGCGAATGCTGGCGGGACGTCCCTCTTGCTGGGGAACAGTACCGCTGAGGCGTGAACACATGCATAGGTCCCAACACTGGTTTTCCCCGAGACCGGGGTAGCGCGGGAGCCGGTGAGGGCAGCACAGGGAGTGTCAGGATCTCCTGAGCTGCTTGAAGGGCATTGGGCGTCGACGGCACGTGAAGCTGGCTGGGGCCTACACCACTATCTGGAGTCGCAGGCAAAGCATGAGATGGGCTGCACTGCTCAACTTGAGGTAGGGCCCAACTTCCCTAGGGCGATATTGAGCTGCCCGACATGGGTCTTGGCTCTCCCCGTTCTCTTTCCTTTCCCTTGCGGGAGGTAGGAGATCTTCCCCTCACAGTCTTTTTCGGCTTCTTGACCGGAGCCACTGGGGAGACCGGTGCCAGCTCATGGACGGCACCGGGGGAGCACTGTGCACGGAGTGAGTGCCGACTCCATTAGGAGCGCTCTTATATGGATATCACGCTCCGTCTTCATCCTAGGTTTAAAGGACTTGCAGATATGGCACTTATGTGCCCTTCGCCGAAGTATCTTAGGCAGCTGGCATGTGGATCGCTGATGGGCATAGGCCATTTGCAGCAATTGCAGGGCTTAAAGCCTCAGTGCCCCGGCACAAGTAGATGGCTCCATGGCCCAGGCCGGCCCCGCCATCTCCAGGGAAAGCAGAGAAGAATTTGAATTAAGGTCCTGACAGCACTGCCCTCTGATTAGGCTGTAGAATGAGCACACAACACCCCATCGCTCCCTGACTGGAAGGGCATGGTGTAGTGGAGACACATTATGCTGCCCGGATGTGGGGGGTGGAGACGTCCTCCCCCAAAACATCACCGCTTTCTCCCCACACAAACCCTGTGCCGCTGCTTCTGGGGCTGTGGCTCCACAAGCAGCTGCCCAGGGACACACTGCGCCCCACAGCACAGTTGAATCGCCTGCCCCATGCTGGGAGGCCCTGCACTGGGAAGTGGGCATGGTTTCACATGGCTCCAGTCCCAGCTTGGCTTCAGCCCGAGCAGTCCGTTAAAAAGCGTCTGGAAGATTTGACCCACGGTCTGCTTATTGACTACCCCTGATAGAATCATAGAAGATTAGGGTTGGAAGAGACCTCTAGTCCAGGAGGTCATCTAGTCCAATCCCCTGCTCAAAGCAGGACCAACACCAACTAAATCATCCCAGCCAGGGCTTTGTCAAGCCTGACCTTAAAAGCCTCTAAGGATGGAGATTCCACCACCTCCCTAGGTAACCCATTCCAGTGCTTCACCACCCTCCTAATGAAATAGTGTTTCCTAATATCCAACCTAAACCTCCCCCACAGAAACTTGAGACCATTGCTTCTTGTTCTGTCATCTGCCACCACTGAGAACAGCCGAGCTCCATCCTCTTTGGAACCCCCGTTCAGGTAGTTGAAGGCTGCTATCAAATCCCCCCTCACTCTTCTCTTCTGCAGACTAAATAACCCCAGTTCCCTCAGCCTCTCCTCGTAAGTCATGTGCCCCATTTTCGTTGCCCTCTGCTGGACTCTCTCCAATTTGTCCACATCCCTTCTGTAGTGGGGGGACCAAAACTGGACGCAATACTCCAGGTGTGGCCTCACCAGTGCCGAACAGAGGGGAATAATCACTTCCCTCGATCTGCTGGCAATGCTCCTAATACAGCCCAATATGATGTTGGCCTTCTTGGCAACAAAGGCACACTGCTGACTCATATCCAGCTTCTCATCCACTGTAATCCCCAGGTCCTTTTCTGCAGAACTGCTGCTTAGCCAGTCGGTCCCCAGCCTGTAGCGGTGCATGGGATTCTTCCTTCCTAAGTGCAGCACTCTGCTCTTGTCCTTGTTGAACTTCATAAGATTTCTTTTGGCCCAATCCTCCAATTTATCAAGGTGACTCTGGACTCTATCCCTACCCTCCAGCGTATCTACCTCTCCCCCCAGCTTAGTGTCATCTGCGAACTTGCTGAGGGTGCAATTCATCCCATCATCCAGATCGTTAATAAAGATGTTGAACAAAACCGGCCCCAGGACCAACCCGTGGGGCACTCCACTTGATACCGGTTGCCAACTAGACTTCAAGCTGTTGATCACTATCCGTTGAGCCCGACAATCTAGCCAGCTTTCTATCCACCTTATAGTCCATTCATCAAATCCATACTTCTTTAACTTGCTGGCAATACTGTGGGAGACCGTATCAAAAGCTTTGCTAAAGTCAAGATATATCAGATCCACCACTTTCCCCATATCCACAGAGCCAGTTATCTCATCACAGAAGGCAATCAGGTTGGTCAGGCATGACTTGCCCTTGGTGAATACATGTTGACTGTTCCTGATCATCTTCCTCTCCTCCAAGTGCTTCAAAATAGATTCCTCGAGGACCTGCTCCATGATTTTGCCGGGGACTGAAGTGAGGCTGACTGGTCTGTAGTTCCCCGGGTTCTCTTTCTTCCCTTTTTAAAATATGGGCACTATATTTGCCTTTTTCCAATTATCCAGGACCTCCCCCGATTGCCACAAATTTTCAAAGATAATGGCCAACGGTTCTGCAATCACATCAGCCAACTCCCTCTGCACCCTTGGATGCATTAGATCTGGACCCATGGACTTGTGCATGTCCAGCTTTTCTAAATGGTCCTTAACCTGTTCTTTCACTACTGAGGGCTGCTCACCTCCTACCCATGCTGTGTTGCCCAGTGCAGCAGTCTGGGAGCTGACCTTGTCTGTGAAGACCGAGGGGAAAAAAAAGCATTGAGTACTTCAGCTTTTTCCACATCATCTGTCACTAGGTTGCCTCCCCCATTCAGTAAGGATCCCACACTTTTCTTGACCTTCTTCTTGTTGCTAACATACCTGTATAAACCCTTCTTGTTACCCTTCACATCCCTTGCTAGTTGCAACTCCAATTGTGCCTTGGCCTTCCTGATTACATCTCAGCATGCTCAAGCAATATTTTTATACTCCTCCCTAGCCATCTGTCCAAATTTCCACTTCTTGTAAGCTTCCTTTTTGAGATTAAGCTCACCGAAGATTTCACTGTTAAGCCAAGCTGGTCACCTGCCATATTTGCTATTCTTTCTGCACATCGGGATGGTTTGTTCCTGCGCCCTCAATAAGTCTTCTTCAAAATACAGCCAGCTCTCCTGGACTCCTTTCCCCCTCATATTAGCCTCCCAGGGGATCCTGCCCATCAGTTCCCTAAGGAAGTCAAAGTCTGCTTTTCTGAAGTCCAGGGTCCATATTTTGCTACTCTTTTTTCTTCCTTTTATGAGCATCCTGAACTCAACCATCTCATGGTCACTGCTGCCTAGGCTGCCACCCACTTCTCTTTTCCCTACCAATTCTTCCCTGTTTGTAAGCAGCAGGTCAAGAGGAGCACGACCCCTAGTCGGTTCCTCCAGCACTTGCACGGGAAGTTGTCCCCAACACTCTCCAAAAACTTCCTGGATTGTCTGTGCATTGCTGTATTGCTCTCCCAGCAGATGTCAGGGTGATTGAAGTCTCCCATTAGAACCAGGGCCTGTGATCTGGAAACTTCAGTTAGTTGTCCCAAGAAAGCCTCGTCTACCTCATCCTTTTGATCCGGTGGTCTATAGAACACACCCACCACAACATCACCCTTGTTGCTCTCGCCTCTAAACTTAACTCAAAGACTCTCAACAGGCTTTTCTCCAGTTTCATACTGGAGCTCTGAGCAATCATACCACTCTCTTACATACAATGCAACTCCTTCACCTTTCCTCCCGTAGCTGTCCTTCCTGAACAGTTTACATCCATCCATGACAGTTCTTCAGTCTTGTGAACTGCCCCACCAAGCTTCTGTTATTCCAATCACATCATAGTTCCTTGATTGTGCCAGGACTTCCAAATCTTCCTGCTTTTTTCTCAGGCTTCTTGCATTCATGTACATGCACCTAAGATAACTAGCCGATTGCCCTACTGGTGTAGAATAACCTTTAACGTACCCTTAGGTTAAGTAACTAAGCATTTAACAACTCATATAAACAATCTGCAAACTAACATCAAAATAATTGCTGTGTCCTATGACCATGTCCCATGATATATATAATATAATATACTGTCATATATAAACAACTACATTGCTCTGACCTGTTCACATATTACAACACAATCATCTAAAGTATATTCAGAGTCCAAATCTACCTATTTCTCTATGATTATGCCAAGTACATCTGGTCCACAGAGCAGTTATGAATTTATGTAGTGGCTCACCCTCAGCAAGCTCACTTTTAACTTTTCTTTTAACTTAAAAAAAAATAAAAAAGCTGAAATTCAAAGTCAGCAGGTGTTACATGGTTCTCCAAACAAGTGTTTAAATAATAAAATCTCACACATAGGTCAGATGTTTCTAATCAAGACTATGTCAAAGAATTTTTAAAATGTAAACCTATCTTTCATCCTTTGCTTCTGGTCAGTGGGAGGAGAATTGTGTTTTGAATGTCATAGCTCTCATACATGTGCAATTATCACACTAGAATTTCATAAACATATATAATTTATAATAGGGAAATCTTGGAAAATATCCTGTCAGGCACATATGTATTAAGTACAGTACCTTCACTAAACAGATTTTCTTTGTAACACCACCTTGTGATCTTCAGTTTGAACAGACTTCTTAAGGGACCATATTGAGTTCACATAGCAGTAGCAGAAGTTTTTCAATAGCCCTATATAAAAACAAACAAACAAGTAATAAGATTACCGACTGGTAGCATTTTAGGAATAAAAAAATTCACAAGTAAGTCTTAAAGATGTTTAAATGTTACATAAAAACATCTTCCAATAAAAAGAGAAAATTCTTAATTCCCATTGATAAATTGTTAACTTATGCTATTGGACAGATTTTTTTTTTATTTAAGTGCTACACCTCTACCTTAATATAACGCTGTCCTCGGGAGCCAAAAAATCTTACCGCGTTATAGATGAAACCGCGTTATATCGAACTTGCTTTGATCCGCCGGAGTGCGCAGCCCCACCCCCCC